GAGAGAGAGAGAGAGAGAGAGAGAGAGAGAGAGAGAGAGAGAGAGAGAGAGAGAGCGCCTTTGCCAGACCACTGGCTGCCCCATTGGAGAGCCTAGCTCCTCAGCCTTACAAAAAAAGAAAAAAAAGAAAGAAAGAAAAAAAGAAAAGAAAAAGTGCCTCTAAATGCAATCCTCAGCATGTCCACCTTTCAACCAACGAAAGCAGCAGCTGCCAGAAATTATGAGTTACAAACATTGCTCCTCCGACGTGGAACTGTCTATTTGCCTCCTTTTCAACCAGTTGGTCAGTTAAGATCTTTATCCACTCTTAAATATATCCACTGGATTAGACTATAAAATATATAAAAAAACAAACTCACTGATACACTTTGGTCAGTCTTTGTTTCATTTTCTTTCCATGCCAGAGCCAAGTGTGATGAGTAGCAACCTATTTTCCACTTTGAACATAGTTTTGAATGTGGAGCATCTTGCTTATGGCCCAGTGAAGAGCTGTGTGGTTCGTTTCATTTGTTTTGAAAAGGACATGGAACTTCCATTTAACATAGTTTTTACTTATTTGTTTAAACCCCTTCTCTCTCCCTCCCCCCCACTCTGTGTGTGTGTGTGTGTGTGTGTGTGTCACTCTCTCACACACTTTGTGTGTGTGCTCAGGATATTCAATAGATTAAATTTGTAAAATGATGGTTACCCTAGGGGCAGTGGGCAGAGGAAGAACATGAGGAAAAAGAAGGTGGTGGCATCTAAGCCCCTGTATTTTTCTGCTTGAACAAAGCAAACTTCGAGACCCTTTTCGGAAACTTTGCACTTCTCCGGAGTTGATAGGGAGGTCCCTGGGCAGTCAGGCAGGAGATGGAGAGAGTGCCGTGCCTCTCTGCTCCACAAAGCAGGTTAGAGGGCTCTCAGGGCTCCTGCTCAGAAATTATAGGGCTGAGCCAGGAAAATAGCCAGTTTACTTTTCTGGCCGGCTTGTCCCTTTTCCCTAGGTTACGACAGGTTCCTGAGAGACCGACAGGTTCCTGAGAGACCATACTAGAGAGAGATCTCAGATTCCTAGCAGAACTGAGGGAGCGTCCCTCAAGTGGCCAGCTGCAGAGGGGTGGCCAGGTTCTTGGGAGTTCCGGGCTCTGAGGTAAGAATACCAACTTGTGGAAAAGATGGCTGCTGACAGATTCTGGGAGCTAAGTGACAACTCCAGAGAGGACCCTAGCTTCACTGAGGGGTGGCAGTAAGGAGCAGTAAGGAGAAGAGACAAAAACAGAAGGAAGTCCCGGAGCAGAACACACTTCAAGCTTCAGGCCTTCGATTTGGAGGAGGTTCTAACCTGGAGACCTTTACTTCTCCCTCTTTCTCTCCGTTTCTTTCTCTTCCACCCCCATTCATATTTTCTAAGATCCCCCCACCCCACCCCACCACACGCACAGAATAAAGCCTGAGGATGAAAAATTACTTTCTTGCTATTACCCTTCCTACCGCAAGATGCGGTGCAAGAGTTAGTGTTACAACTATGGCACAATGTTTCACCGACGCAAAACATGCAGCCAGAGGGTGTTGCTAATGACTCCTGGACTAGAGCGATCCTGCGACTGGGAGAAGGGGAGGGAGAGACAGAACTACGCAGGAGAGGGACATTTTTCATTAAAAACCCGGGTGAGGGCGAGTCAGGACTAATAATCTCATCAGTATTTCCGATTTCAAGGTTCTCTCTGCTTAAACGTGTGAGCCAGAGAGAATCCAGCATCCTTTTAAGCACCACTTTTTGCCATATTAATAACAATTATGTTTACAGTTACGTTGCGTGAAGAGCTCTCCTTTGGGAAGGATCAAACACTAGAAATCGCTTAATACTAGATTCAAAGCTACTCCAGTCCTCAGGCCCTTTGAAGGCTGTGCGGGCCTGGTCATCGTTAACCGAGGGGTCTATGCAACGCAGGGCGGCCAGAGAAACTCAAGCCTCGCTCCCCTATTAGGGCACACAAATGGACAAACGTTTGTGGTGAAGTGGTGGGAGCCAGAATGACCCATCCAGGCTATGGAGCAGCCTGCAGGTGCAGCGGCCAGCAGTTGCCTGCCCGGCCTGTGCTAGATCTTGGCAAAATGTCCCCACCGGCCTCGGAACTCCCCTGTGCCCTCCCTTGGGACCAGCTATTTGGGGGTGCATGAGGTTTCGAGGTTCCTACCGTGGCCCAGGCTGGTCCCACCGCCCTGCAGTCTGCTTCTCCACCCCAGGGCACACGAGGAGGGCATCCCCTTGGGCTGCGGCCCTTTGAACCAGGGAGCCCTTGGCTCCCTCCCGGACCCGGACGCGCGGAGCTCGCTGGAGGCCCGGCAGCGGAGCGGAGTGTGGGTGGCGGGTGGGGTTGAAGGGGAGTGGGGGAGGCGGGAGGGGACAGAGGGGCGGAGGCAGGAGCGGGGCGTTAAGCCTGGAAGCTTGGCTGTTTACCCAAACGATTTTCTTTTCAGGCCGGAGACGCCAATGAGACAAGATCAAACTGCCCTCCAAGCAGTGCGTGTGGGGCGGCGTGAGTGTGTGTGTGTCCCCTTTGCAAGAGGGGCTTTGTGAATGGGGCCTCGAGCACTCTGGCTTGGAGGGATGAGAGGCGACCCGGCCACCAGCGCCTCCTCCCGGGGGCTGGGAAAAGCCTGGTGTGTAGCGTGCCTCAGTACAGGGAAGGGCAGCCCGGGCAAGCGGTAGTCCAAAGAGACTCAGCAAAGAGAAGTACTGCAGCAGCACGCTCTAGGGAGCTAAGGCCTTAAAGATCTAGACGAGAAACTCATGGTCATGTGTGGGTTTAGGAGCATCACACAAATTCCATCCTTCTTCCGACCCGTTGATTTTCGATCCATCTAAAGCCTACATCCAGCTCTTTGGGCCATTGGTTTGTTTCTTCCTGACTGCCTGACTCCAGATCTATTGCCTGAAAATTAGGGCAAGGTTTTAACGATTAAGTTACAATGCAGGCTCGGAAGTGCACTGCCAGTCCTAAGCCTGGCTTCTTTGCGCCACAAAATAGTTAAAGATCAATGGGGCAAAGATTGTCTGTATTGACAAAATTTGTAATTTTTTTTTTAAAGAAACCTAACCCCAGGAATATTTATTAACCGGGCAAAAAGTAAGAGAGCGAGGCAAGAGGGGAAGAGAGTGTGAACTTGGTTAAGTTCGAGCTACAGCGCAGATGGCGACTGTCCTCCTGGATGTAGCTCCTGCAGCTGCCCCATGAGCCACATGGTCGAAAGGTCGTTTGAAATAATAATGGCATTATATGTGTGACAATAAAAAGAATGGTAAATCAGGGCTTTTTTGTTTGTTTCTTGAGGTCGAACTATAATTAAAATGTGGTAACAGAGACGCTGTGCCTGTAGCTTCTATTTCCTGTAGTTTATTCTCCAGTAGGGCCCACTGTAAGCTTACCTAAGGAATCTGAAAGAAAACAACTTCATTCCAATGTTCCTAAGGTCTGGGTCTCTATTCCTCCTCAATGACCCCATCCTTGTCCCCCCCCTCCCATTCTTGGCCACTTGTCCTTTGGATAAGGGAGGTTAGACTGGGGCCTAGGCTCTGGTTCTTCTCACACAGGCACTCCACAAGAGTAGCATTTCCACTCCCTCTCCCAAAGAAGCAGACATTCCATTACCCCATTGCCAAGAGTTCTTATTTACCTAAAACTCTCCTTCCCTGGGGCTGACCCAAGGAGGGCACCTTGGGGACCTGCTGAGACTTGCTTCAGGCTCCTGTGACCTCCACTGTGGTGACCCAGGTCGGCACCAGTACACTGAGAAAGAGCCTGCAGGCCTCCACTTTCCTGCCAGAACCTCTCCGGTGGAGTTTGCAAGTCTAGGACTGAAGGACCAGGGGCACCTGATGCCTCCTCCCCTAAGACAGATTAAAGACAAGTCTGAGGATTGCCAGAATGCTGGCTGGTCTGCAATGGGTGTAGGCCAGTGGGGGTTGCTTACGATGGAAAATAGATGTGCCTACTTTGGGAATGATGAACAGGTACTTTAATGAGAGAGTGGACTGAGTGGAGTACTCTCTCAATGTGCCCATCACTGCCCTCATCCAGCGTTGTTTCTAGACTTGACAACAAATGGTCCGGGGCAAGATTAAAAATAAATAAATAAATAAATAAATAGCCTTGAAACAAGGCAGCCAGAAAGGCAAAGCTACATGGCTAAAGGGGGGGGGGTGTCAAGGTTCCTGGGCTCGGCACAGTGCCCATCCACAGGGTAGCGGGGTGCTGTTGAGACATCCAAGAAGACCCAGACCCCAGGGATGTCCACCTGGAACCTCAATTCCTTACTGACAATTGTGACTCCTGGGGCTTCAGGCCTCTGATCTGGGAGTTCGAAAGGCAGAGCTGTATTCTTGTGTTTCTTCACGCTGGAATCTTGAGAGGGAAAGACTGGTGATGGCTACAGTGTCCATGTGTGGGCAGGTGGCAACTGCTCGTCACCCAAAGGCCAGGTCCACATCCTGGCTTCCTACCACTGAGCTGCTCCAAGCTAGATAAGCTTACCTTGAGTGTCAGGGGTGGCTTGACTGAGTACCAGAACCCTCCAGAGAGGGGCCTCCTATCGGTGCCCAAGCGAGGGCCCAGAAACAAGGGGCTGGGACAAGACACAGGGCACTGTCCAGGCTGCCCCTGGCAACACACACACAGTTCTTTCCAGGCCCCCTCCCGCCGTCGGGCTTCTCTAGCCTCCAGCCACAGGAGGACACAAGAGTTTTCCTTTACTCTCCGCCTCTCCCATCCCCCTAAAGCTGAGGGCCGAGACTAGCTGGTAACCAGGGGCCCGTGGCTTGCCCCCTGAGTGTGAGTGAGGAAAACACCAGGCGCTGCGCTGTCTGCAGACAAAAGACCCCGAGATGGCTGGCTCCAGCAGGCCCAGACACAGCGTCGTTCGCACCCGCCTCCACCTTTGCCTAGGCAGCAGGCGCAGGTGGAAGCAGGGGCGCTAAGAAGCAGAGAACTTTTATTGATTCCCTAAATTGAACACCTCCGAGTCCGCGGGCATAGGCAGGGCCAGGCATCTGTTTCAGAAAAAAATAAAATAAAATAAAATCTGCCCCCCGGCACCTAGCCATCCATCCTCCCATAAATGGCTGCTCCTGGCTGGTTTTTTCCCCCTACATGTCTCATAGCAAATCACCTGGCAGCTAGGAAAAGCTACCCTCCTCCCACATCGACCTGCAGGCGTTACTCCCCCCCCCAAAAAAAAAGGCTCTTGTCTTCTCTTCCTCTACTAGCCCCAGGGAGAATTCACTGGCTTTAGCATTAAGGAGTGGGGGGAAAAATCTTTACATTCTCCCTAGGTGTAAGATGCTGTAAGAATTGGGAAAGGCTTCTGGCGCTCCACACCTCTCTCTCTCTCTCTCTCTGCTGCACCTGGAAAGAAGAAATAGTCTTTTCCTGCAGTCTGTCATTCTGCCCCCACAAATAACTGGTGTGAGAAATACCCCAGGCTTGAGAATATTGATAGATGATAGTAGCGATATTCAAAATCGATCCTTTAATAGGCAGACGTCATAAATCATGTTCAATGCCCTGACAGAATGGTACTTCACTTAATAATATAATTAAGATTAAAACTCCAGAGGTATTGAGGCAGCAGCTATTGATAACTGTAAAAAAAAATGCATTCTGGATACTACAGTGGGATGCAATAGGATTTGGGGAAAATACAACTTTCTTTCAAAAGATGGAGTTTTACCAGTGTTCCCATCTTTGAGCTCTTTTGACCTTGATTTCCAGCCCCACCCCCAACCCTTCTTTCTTTACCAGTCATATTGTCTGAGGACAGCTCTTAAAAGTTGGTTTGTTTTCTAGCCTTCAATATGAAGCTTTAAAAATTATCATGAGACCTAAGAGACATTTTTTTGTTTGTTTGTTTCAATACACTTAAAACCCTCAATAAAGTTTTCAAAATTGCACATACAGGACAGTACATGCATATATATCAGGCAGCTCCAGCCCTGCACCCTAGCCTCTGCCCTTTCCAGACTACTCCACAGTCCAAACCATGGGCCTCAGCGTAGGTAGGTAACAAGGTCCTGAAAAGTACCATGAAGTGGCAGGCTCCTATCCCAGGGTGATAGCGTGCCATCTGCATCGCGTGCGTGGCTAGAGCTGATTGGAAGTGCAGCTTGAAATGATTCTAAAGAGTGGAATATTCATCAGATCAATGGAAGCTGACAAATGAGAAATATCTGATAGTTAGGAGCAATTTACAACTTTGTTATTAGTTAAGAATCACCTGCCTTGTAAGAGTAATTAATAATGCAGAGAGGAACCATTTGGAAATCCCCCGGCTATTCTTTGCATTTCCCTCTGTCTCTTAAGGAAGGAAAGAGAAAGAAAGAAAATGAGTGATCAGCAGGAACAGAAAACCAAATCAAACCAAACAAACAAACAAAAAAATGTCTGCATTTGTGGGGAGAACAGAACTGGAGAATATAAGAGAGGGGGAATTAACCCCCTAGGAAGGTATCAGGAAATAAACAAAATATCGAGGGAGGGCTGATAAAAGGGAAAATAAATTCTGTAACCATACACCATGAATTGGCTAAAGGCTGAGTTTTAAATGGCCCAGAAATGCCATCAAAATGGACACTGCTGCTACAGTGTAACTTCACAGCCTAACTCAGCGCTGAATTCCAGGCAGAGCCCAGTGCATTGTCTGTGTTGGTGTCCTTAACAATATATTTCTTTACAGCCCTGGAGCAGACGTGTGCAGGCTCTTGCCCAAATTCCATCCCTGGAGACCCCAGCCGGCTTTCATGTGCCTAGAATCAGCTCTCTTCTAGGTCCTAGACAATCCTCCCTGACCCCAACACACACACTCATTTTACATTGATTATTGAATGGGTTCAGCCTCACCAAAGCCACATTCCAAAATAAAGACTTGTTGAAAAACTGTAAATCTTTTCAGCACTGTAGTTTGGGAAAGCATTTCAATCAACAGACTGGCTGTAAAAAGAAAAAAAAAAAAAAGAAATCAAGAAACCCCCAGCTTTCTGCACACAGAAGGAGAAACTGCTGTTTTGTTGAATCTTTTATTTGTTAAATGGACTAATTTTTTTTTTCAGATTTGGGGTTTTGTTTTTGTTTGGTTCTGGCTTTGTTTGTTTGTTTAGACGAGAGGAAAGAAAAATAATCTCAACTTTAGAAAACTTTTTCCGGTCATGGTTATAAACTCTGGTTTTGCCTCACTAAGTCCAGGCTGGATCGATAAAAGGTAGCTAGAAATTGAGATTTATTGGCCTCTAAATGAAAAGATTCATTTGATAGAAGAGGTTAACTCTGAGTTCCTTCGCTGTGGCTGGGTTCGGCAAATGCTTCA